AATGCACCAATTATTCAATACCTGATAAAAAAAACAAAAAACAGCTGTCGCAACTTGCACAATTTATTCACAAGATACTGCGTTTGTTGAGTTAAAATCTTGTTTTTACTTGCCTTATTATTATCATTGTTAACTTTATTAGTCATGCCGTGTAAGCTGACCGATTATTCTGTATCTTCACATGATAAAGAATGTTCTCTCATACCCCGAAAGGGGTCGAATAAGAAATAAAGTTTTTGTCATTGTCATTGTCCATCGTTCGTCAGTCACTAGATATTTGATAATTTTCACCTAATGACCCTTGTGACTTTTGAACTTAACTGACATTGAGATCATATTGAAACATATTTACAATGTCCTAAGTATCATCCATAATAAATTTAAGCATCAAAAAATATGGAAAGGACTGAACTTTGACCTATGAATTTTGAACTATAGGCTGAAGATTATTTTTTCATGTTTAGAAGGTCCTAAGTATCTTGATATCCTGATAAATTTAAGCTCAATTGTTCTATTTTGAAAATTTGACCCCAATGACACTTATGTAACCCCTGATCCCAGACTGGGGTGTAGGAAGAGTCACTGGCTCTTAATGACCATATATACCAAAATTTAACAGGTGATGCCATATCTTAAAACATCCTGAAAAGGGTCAAGATTTAAACGCACTGCGTAAGAGCAATCTTGATTGCAATCAAAAAGAAAGATTGGATATTACAATATTTATCAAAATTGTACTACAAGGAACAGTCCTGTCTTCAGGAATTTGGCCACAAGGGAATCAAAAGTATATGACTGCCTAGAGCTTAGGTCAGGGTCCCTAACTGAATTTACTACGTGGATTGCGCTGTGCTGTACTTACACCTATTAACACAAAAGAGTTTATCCGCAGATCTCAGAAAAAATTATTTTATACTTACAAGTTTCTCAAAACACCCAACCCAACCCAACCCAACCAACCAACCAACACAAGCAGCTCAAATCTGACATGCATTGTTGCCACAAGCATTTAACAAGGAAATTAAATATCACTTCATCCATCAATCAATCAATCAAATCAATCAGTCAGTCAGTTAGTCAGTCAGTCAACTGTTACAAATGTTATTGCATCATATGTCCAGAATAAAATTCTGCTCAATGGTGCATTCAGAATATTCGACAGAACAACTTACAGTGCATGCATTAGATGATCATAATAGGAATACATATCGCATAAGTTAATGACTTAAACTATAAACACACGCACACACTTCCTCGTGGGTCAAAGTGCGGCGGATCACCTAACTCGTCCTCAGAGACGAGTTCAAATCTAGTTTAAAAGTATAATTGAATTATGGAATGGAGTACAAATATGTTATCATTAGTGGAGTAACCAATTGCATTAGACAGACTTCTACCAAACATGAGAGTGTTCACAGCTTGAGGTCAAAAGTCACAGGGGTCATCTTAGAGTAAAATCTTGAAAAATGACTAGGTTCATTTTTTATTGAACATAGTATCTCTAGTTATTTGGTGATCCGCAACTCTTGCGGATCACCTCTTGTTATTGTCAGGATCTTTTTTTTTCTTTTTAATCTTCTTTCTTTCTCCCCATTTCTTGTTGGCACGACATCTCAAAATTGCCGCGAGCTACGAACATGGCCGTTTCAACGAACATTTGGTTTGGTCTGGATTAGTCAATGTGAGCATGTTAATGTGCTCAGTCATGCGTGACGTCATCTACGCGTATTTTTGCGTTTTTAATAACGAGTTACATAATCGAACATATCATCCTAACCAATTGCCATTTCGAAATCATATTCAGTGAGCATAAACTTCAGGTCAAGGTTGAATGTCACTTGTCTTAAGTTTATGAGTGCACGTCATAACGCGCACATACGTGTGCGTCAACATTTTAAAATGCTCAAAATCACTTTTTGACTGAATTTCACGTTTTAGGCCATTATGAGCATTTCAACATTTTTCAGATTTTTGGCACCGCGCGCACATTTTTACGCACACGCACATACAGAAGCTGGAATTATCGTTTTTTTTTTTTAGTTCCTGACACTGTATTCACAAAGTTCCATCTGTTTTGGTCATCTTAGGGTCAATGGCAATGCCATAGGCACGCATGAAGATACGAATCCTTGTGCGCGTTTTTGTCGACATAGAGCTAAAATAGGCCAAAATCATGCCTATTTTCAATTAGTTATAGCTCCTTAGGATGATCAGTGACTCCCAATTTTTACTATATATTCTGAAAGTACATATGTTGTAGATATGATTTTATAGATCATAATAGCTGATCGGACATTGTGACAAGATCGGAGATCTAAAGATGCAATCTCCACCGTGCATCAATGGCGGCCTGCTGGATCTCAAAAGAGATTCTTTAATATATATATATATATAT